ACTCTTCGACAGCCCAAGACCGGTTTCGCCCTTCCACTTTGGGCTCATCAGGTGGGCGCAGTCCACGAGTTTCCGTCAACCTAAAGTTCTACTTGAACTCAAATTGGACTGTTTCCAAATCAATTTGGTTTTCACGAGAGACTCAACTGAATCTCTCGTTTATGATTTAAATTTGTCCCTCTGATTCACAAGTGCTTCTAGCATCACCGGCGAACTTCCAGACGAAACTATCGTACGTCAAATTTCTGGCTCCATGGACTTCTGAGTCTTGACAAAATTGGGCAGTTCCACAAACTTTGGTCAGCTATCTGGGAATAATTAGCCAGCATTTCGCGTTGTTGTTTTTTCCCAACCAACAAACCCAATTTATCTTCCATTTCGGTTCTCGTGCTGGAGCCCGTTGTCCACAAAACCAGCTGCTGACCAGCGTCGCATTCCTTTTCGGCTGACCGTCCTCAGATCTGCGCTGAACACCGACCCGCAATCAGGGCGGTGTTGGCGAACAACTGATAATTTTTCGCCCTGCGCAGAGGCATACGCGTATGCGCGCAGAGAGAGAGAGAGAGAGAGAGAGAGAGAGAGAGAGAGAGAGAGAGAGAGAGAGAGAGAGAGAGAGAGAGAGAGAGAGAGAGAGAGAGAGAGAGAGAGAGAGAGAGAGAGAGAGAGAGAGAGAGAGAGAGAGAGAGAGAGAGAGAGAGAGAGAGAGAGAGAGAGAGAGAGAGAGAGAGAGAGAGAGAGAGAGAGAGAGAGAGAGAGAGAGAGAGAGAGAGAGAGAGAGAGAGAGAGAGAGAGAGAGAGAGAGAGAGAGAGAGAGAGAGAGAGAGAGAGAGAGAGTGAACTTTCTCATAAATCTCCCCTCCTGACCGTCGTCATAAAACCACGTTTCCGAAAGATCGGACTTAGACATCTCGACACCGATTGCCTCAATGACAATATGCGCACATTTTCGTGTGTATCAGATGGAAAGGGGAAGTGCCGGGCTGGGGGGGATCTGCACACGTAACAACTCCCGGGGCAAACTCGCTGACATTGTTCCGTGCTGCTCCGCTGTCTTTACGCCACATATCAACCGATCATTGTATCTCTGGAATCGTTCCAACTGACAATAACAACGTCAATGACCGCAACAACTGCTGCGGTGGCAATGAAGAGAAGAACATCATAGACACCATTCCACCCTCCTCCTGCTTCCCAGCAAACCAAAGCCTCCCGGTCAGCCAGCTCTGAGGCACGTGCGAGCGCATGCATTCTTGGTGCCTTGGTTACTGCAATTGCTTTAGTTACCTACCTTGCTGTAGTCCGCCCCACCCCCAACCGTAAAGTACCGGTAGTGATGCGCACGGCAAACTCGGGCTAGACATGAAAACCAAGAAATTTGGGTGAAAACAACCATGTCTGGCGGCCTGGTTACCTGATTACCAAATGCGATTGCAGAATGTTGCTTGTGATGATGTCAAGTGTGTGCGCGTGTGTGTGTGCACGTCTGTGTGGTTGGGTGCACGCACGTCTGTGTGCCGGTTACTCTTGAACCCGAGTTGTGCACACACCCACATCCCTAAGCAGAGACAAAGGCATCGCACACCCAAGTCCTGACTAAATTTGTGAACTAAAAGAACGAAACCCTTTGAATTGCCTCCGAGATGTGGAATAACCATTGCCATGGTGAGTGTGCGTCTACGCAAGTGACCTCTGGCCTCCGACAATGGGTGTGTCTAAAGTGTGCTGGTGGTGTGGATAAGGCCCTACCCTCACACTTGTGTGTGTGTGTGTGTGTGTGGTCGATATTCCGCTGTGGGGCACTCGGGAATGGTGGGCTGTGCAATCGGTGAGGTCATAGGTGTGCGCCGTCGGCTTGTCACATCCGGGTGCGACTGCTAAGCAAGTCCGAGCAAGAGGTGGAAACTGCCCACATCCAGGTTGGAATGGTGATGCATAAACGATGAATGACTCACATGTACCTGATCGATAATGGTATATCAAATAACAAGGTCAAAATGGTGAGGTTCTTGAGAATCTCCTGGTAACAAAGCGTAGGTTGTTTGATTGAGTAACCCAGGTGGCCCGAAACAACCAAGGGAACAAACGTTGCCATGGCCAAACCCGACCACCCATGATAAAATGAAGCTACTAACCTTGGTACAGTTTGGTTTTACGCAGTGATAGTGCGTCTGCCGGCCGTTATGTACGCATTCGGGGACGGTACAATTGTCACTGGGACTGTAACGCATGAATCCGTACTGCAAACTTTCCTCCCGTTTCCGGTGCCACTTTGCGTGTCGAATCATCTCCTCACGTCGAATAATGAGCTAAACACACACAGAAGACAAGGGAAAGATCAGGCCGGGGAGAGTCCGACATTGTAAAGGGCAAAACAGACCACTGCTAATGCAGATTTCACTAGGCTGGGGGCTATCGCGTAACCCGTGGAGCGCAGAGTGTCTGTATCGGCATTAACGATTGCTGACTCCTCCTTTCAACATGCCACCCCCTCATTCAACAACTCCAACTTCGTCCTCATCATTTCATCATCATCATCATCATCATCATCATCATCATCATCATCATCATCATCATCATCATCATCATCATCATCATCGGAGACGGTATTGTTGACACTGACGCTTCATATGGCAGTGAACCAAAAAGTTTACCTAATTATATTTAAAGCTTTTGGTTGAAAAGGATAGTGGAAGAGGGAGGGGACCTTGTGCTGGTCTACGGCCTACACCCCCAAACGCTTCATGAGACAATCTGGAAAGAACCTGACAGCATGGACGCCACTGATATCGATTAGCCGTCATTCCTTGCAGTGTCTCTAGCCACGGTCATGAGGGATCCTCGTAAGGGGACCCCAGCCAACAACAACAACCAATCTCCCTATATTCTCTTTCACACCCTTCCGCCAATTCGCACGCCATCCACTTGAAGAAGACATGCAGAAAAACGCTAATCTCGGGAGACAATGCTTTGGCGTGTTTAGAAAACGGCAGAGCCACCACAGTTGGCGGTACTGAATATTTCCCTTAACCGGCTGAGCAAACAGATCCCAATTTTCTGACTACCTCGTCACCGATACCGACAACGTTTCTGAGGCATACGTGGTCCGTAATTTGAAGGCACTTCACAGCACCTCTCTGCACAGGCCATGGGTCGCGACCATACCACAAAACAGCCCCTAGACCAAACAAGTTTGGTTCTACGAGAGATCCAGCTGGGTTCCAGGTGAGTCTCTCGTAAAACCAAATTTGTTTGCTATTTCTAAGACAGACAACTTTGCAGTTTCCTGTAGTCATTGAAAATACCTTGCCAATGGACTTCAAGTCAGGCCGCCAAAAGACGGTAGGTTAACGCTGTCTTGAAATCAAATTCATCAGGTTGAATGGTGACGGCACACCCAGTTGCCTGGAAACATCACAACCGAGAGATGGGTTCAGCCGGGTTCCTCGTGAGTCTCTCGGAAAAACCTAATTTGTTTGCAAATAAGTGTAGTTCGCTCATTTCGTGCAATTTTTGGATTCAAGTCTCTCGGAAGGTTAAGGGAAACTCGGGGAGTGCGCCTATCTGATGAGCCCCAAGAATAGTGAAACCGGTCGTGGCTGTCAAAGAATTTCTGACAGCCTTGTGAGTAGTGTATTACGAAAACAGCCCCTACTGTAGTCTGCTTTATGCGACCTTTGCTAAGCCTACCTCTCAGATGACCATCGTTTGCAACCGGTGTTGGTTGGTCAACCGGTATGATATGGAAGGAGAGAGAACTCAGGATACATTCGGAGGATGTGAATACCGTGGCAAAAGCAGTTGTCCTAGCGACAATGTGCACTAAAATAGGTATTATGCGTCATGGGAATCAAACGGGAAAATAGTAATATGACCAATGGGTATAAATTCTGTGCAAGTGATGTTTTTTCACTGGCAAATCTACTGAAACAAACCTTGTTACAGCTCTTGCAGTGATAGTGTTCACGCAGTGCGGAACTTTGACAAGTTGGAGAACCACACTCTTCAAAGGAACTATATTTTCGAATTGGGTTCACGGCGGGTTTTGGAGGAATGGCAGGGTCGTCGGAACCCTCGTCGAGGTTTGAAGGACAGTTGATATCCATTGTAGAGGAGTCGTCAAATGTCGCTGCAAATGTGGTGAAGAACGAGATGTAAATGCCTGAACCAGATCACCCCGATTAATAGTATCAGCAAGAACTATAAAACGATTTTTGACGCCCCTAGAAGCGAAAATTCATTCGGAGCGAATGGTTAGAAACTCCATATCCGTTTATCAAGTCTCTAGAGAGAGTGCTGATTTCAAAAACCTCGTGGGATAGAAATCTCAGTGCTAACATCCTAAGGATGAACCACCATGAACAGACAATGAGCCGCGGTTTCAAAATCCTCGAAAGTGATTGGTCGATGCGCTGTTAACGTCCTCGGTTAGTTATCCTATTTTACTAGGATTGGGGACGAGTTAGCCAAACTGGTTAGAGCGCGAATTTACTGACCGGAAGGTCCGTGGTTCGAATCTGACCTCCGCCTCTCGACTTCCCCTGTCTAGGCTTAGGCAACCTAACAGTATCCCAACCCTCGTGTCTTCTTCGTGTGGCCCGGCAGCTGGGCGTCGAAAAGGTGCTACAGCTGAACGATTATTATTATTTAGGGTTGGGAACACCTATCAAGCGACTGAGTGTGAAATTACACAGTGCGTTTGCTTCCTAACTCGTCCAGTAGACCACGTGAACCTCCGGCTGATTTACCTTGGCGTGGCTGTCAAAAAAGGAATCAACTAGAAATTATGAGGCTCGTTAGAGCACCGATAACATGCCTGGTCGGACAAGAGAGATGGGAGGTGGTAATTTGTTGAGCGCAGTTGGGCGCACTGATGATGATGTCTCCTCGTGTGGTGAGGAGACGTTTACAAGCCAATTGCCAAGCTCGGCGAACAGATTAACAGCCACCTGATCAACAACCAAGAAAGTGAGGTGGCTAGCACAGCAGAGCTAAAAGTGGGTTGACATGTCATGTAATCCCCTTGATCTGGATGCTGTGAACACATGTCGTTAAGCTGGATGAACGCGATACAGTTCCGAAGAAGTGATAGGCAGTGAAGCATCGTTGTTGAACACTGATGTCGATGATGATGATGATGATGATGATGATGATGATGATGATGATGATGATGATGATGATGATGATGATGATGATGATGATGATGTGATGATGATGATGATGATGATGATGATGATGATGATGATGATGATGATGATGATGATGATGATGATGATGATGATGATGGATGATGATGATGATGATGATGGTGAATCTACCCACACTTTCAGTGCACCAGCGGAGGTTAAACTGAACGGCAATGGTGTAGTTGCCGAGATGCAGCTATCCCTAAAAATGTATGGTCGTACTGCTCAGCTGAAGGTGCGAACACGAGAGCGAAAAGATCCGGAATTACATTGGCAGTTATGGCAACAAGGTCGTCGAGCCTCGATAGTCATCTGTTCTTTTACGACGCTCCTAGAGCTGATTGGGTAGATCGAAACGTACTGCAAGACTGCTGGACAACTAACCTATGAAGTTTTGTCAGAAAAATAGCGTTCCGTCGTTAGACAAGATGAGAACAAGTAAACTAAACCTAGAACGGCTAACGTCAATTGCCAGAGCATTCCAGCGCGCTGTTTGGAGGGCGCAATTTTATCCAGGAACGAAGGAGATGCTCAGGGTAGCAAGGTTTCGGGCACTGACTTCATTATAGCTAACAAAACCAATCAGAGCAACTACATTCTGTTTTTTTTTCAAAATAGCAAAAACAATCGTCACTGAAGGGCCTGTTTTGCAAACATAGAGAGAAAATTTGCTTCCAAACAAGGATACGCTGATCACAGAACCTCGAACCGCGAGGAGATCAGCCCACGCCGATAAAAAACTGTGGAAGCCCCTGCCAACAGTGCTTCCGTTTCCGGTTTGACTGCACTCCAGAATTTTGTGAATCTTGTATCTTTGTATCTTTCGACGCACAGGTGACAAGAATCTGTGCTCGGAAAACCAAGCGATGTATTGCTGTGCTGTGATTACCACAGCCCCCCAGACTCCAGTTGAATGCAAGAGGCCGAGACGGATAATACGACCAAACTGCAGCGTGAAACCAATGAAAAATCGCGGACGGTGAAAAACTTATTTAAGCAATGGCTTCCTCAGACATTCGGCAAAAAAACTAGCCTAATTACTATTGGTGGTGTGAATTTCTGGACTCATTTCAGCAAAGCTAATCTGATGTTTCCAACTGCAAAAATAACTTTTTGCTTGCGGCCCGTTGATGCAGGTATCAGTCGGTTCGTAAAACAGAATTGCTTACGTTACGTCCTCCTTGTGTGGCACGAGGGGACTGCCAAATGAGCTAGCTGTCTTCAGTTAAGAAGCATGCGCTTCCCCCTAGATTCAGTTACCAGGTCCCATTGTGCGTGTGTGTGGGGTGTGTATCTTATGCGGCAGTCAACAGCTGATTGCTCAAGCGTCACCTCGGTAAACAGCCTAGACTGAGATGTCTGTACTTACTGACCGGAAGGTCCGTGGTTCGAACTCGACCCTTGTATCTCGACTTCCTCTGTCTAGGCTTGGGCAACCCGGCAGTATCCTCGTGCTTCCTTCTGGTGGCATGGCAGCTAGGTACCGAAAAGGTGTTACTGCTAGACGATTTCGGTTTCGATTTCGATTAGCGCATTGAGGTTGAAATATAAGTATAGAAGGAGGAGATAAGAGGTGCGTAGATGGCAAAACGCAGTCAGCTGGAACCACAAATAAGTTTCCTTTTCTCT